TAATAACTAGATTTTGTGTTGCCAGTAATTTAATTCCAAGATAATTTGATTGTTTTGGTCAAGACATTTTGGTTTTTTTAAATTATATTGGAAGAGAACCATTGCTTTTTGAATCCCTCAAGTGTCTTTCTATCGGCACCCAACACTTTGTTCTCTGTTACATTTAAGTTCTGAAGTTCTATCAAATTTTGTTTGAGCAGGCCGGTTTAAAAGCAGTGGCTTTTATTTTATTCTTTGTTTCCGATGTGAATGACCGATAGTGGTTATCTAATTAAAATGCCTATTGAGCATTTTAGTATTAATGTCTAGTGTTTTTTCGGTAGGTTGAGATTAGTGTCGAATCTACAAAAGTTTTGGGAGTAATTATAATTCAATCCCAAACCCAAATCAATTTGGAATGAGATTTTGAGATAAAGAACAAGTTATGCTTCAATCTGTATCAAAATTGGACAATAAACTCATATTTTGATCAAATTCACACAAATTACCATGTTTACTTCAGAAAATGTTCGTAAGTAACAAGAGACAAGATCAAGACTCGAAGATCATTAAAATTGATTGAAGCTTCCATCTCAAGAATCAAGACCCAAGACTCAAAGATCATTAAGATTTGATTGAAGCTTCCATCTCAAGATTTCAAGAATCGAGACCCAAGACTCGAAGATCAATTGAAGCTCATCTCGAGAATCAAGACCCAAGACTCGAATTGAAGTTTCCACCTCGAGAATGAGTTACTCTAGTCCTTTAAGTGAAACTTTAACATGATAGAGAGCCATACACAAATAATATATATAGCCCTTTAATTGTTGAAATTTAGAGCAAAACCGAAACTAAAATCGAAATAATATATCAAATAATGATAATAAATAATAATAATAAAAGCTCATTTTCTTCTATTTTTTTTCTTAACAATGTTGTTCATTAATGTAAATTATTATAAGGAAATTTCATAGAAGTATCATTAATCCCCAATAAATATTTCATACCAAAAACATTACTCAAAGAGAAGAACAAAGAGAGAGCAAATTAAACCAACAAAATACCAAGCTCTCTTCCAATCCCTTACAAAAGGTAGCTTCTTCACTACACATTGATTTCATTATTGGTTTAACCAATCCTACTATGCCAAAGAGTATTCGTTGCCCAAAACGATGCACGTGATCGCACCACCGTGTTCGCATAATGGTCAAGACCCACGTCCACGTTTCTCCACTCCATGGTCGTCCAACGTCCGAGAAGCCATCGAGAATCTGCCCTGCAGGAGAGGAGGAGACATGAAGGGGGAAGCCATGGATGGTGCCACAAGATCAAGAAAGATGGAAGCTTTGGAGAGATGGGAGGGTGGAGGGTGGAGAGGGTTGGTTTTGATGTTGTGGGAGAAGAGGATCTCCTAAGCATATGCTTCAAGCAATAACTCGTTGCTCCATTTGCTCTCCACCTTTTACTAACTTTTTCCTATATTTAACTATTAATCTCACATTCATAAATCTCCAAAACCTTGCAAACCTTAATGTACCCTTACCTCAAAAGTTCCAATATTTTATACCCATAATTTTTTTTTTAATAGCGTTTGGTTCAAGGTTTTGTTTATGATACCTGAGAGAAGAATGTCGTAAAAAAAAAAAAATACTTTTTAATGTTTTTTCAAAAATTAATTAAGAAGAAAAATGTTAGAACAAAATTATAACAAATTTACATAAATGGGTACTTACTCCACAGTTACAAGTTGTTGATGTAAGAATGCAATAATAAAATAATTATTGATGACATATGAACAAAAAAAAAAAAAAAAAAAAAA